TACACACCACACGCACACAATACACACCACACACGCACACTGACACACACACACCACACACGCACACTGACACATACACAACGCACACGCACACTGACACACACACACATTGACACACTGACACATACACACCACACAATACACACCACACACGCACATGCACACTGACACACACACATTGACACACAGACACGTGCAAGGAGGGGAAAGGGTTTGAAAGAATTTACTATCTCGTGTTTCGAGAAAAGCGCCGGAAGTAACGTTGGGGGGAAAGCCAGGAGTCAGTGGGTTCCACAGCCTTCGTTCTGCGTGGCTCACCCAGCGATGATGCCCACAACACCCCCTTGCGCTCAGGGCCTTTCCAAAAGGACCCGAGTCTCCCAGCTTGAGGTTTGGGGGCCCCGCCCGACTCCGCGCACCGGCCCAGCCCGGCCCGCGCCAGCCCCTCCAACGGCCTCGGGAGGAGAAGCGGGGCCGAGCGCGCGCCCCCCCACCCCCGCCCCGCCGGATCACCAGACCCCGACCCCAAGCCCAACCCCGACCCAGTCCGCGCCCGAGCAGGCCCCGCCCCCGCGAGCCCCACCCCCCGGCTGCCGCGCGCGGAGGGTCACGGGACCGCGGGGCGGGGACGGGGGCGGGGCGGAGCCGAGGCGGAAGCGCCGGCGGAGGGCACCGCTGCCCGCTGTCCCGACCCGCCCCTCTCGGCCCGGCACTACCCTCGTCCAGCCGTGCCAGACCCGGGGGTCAGTGTCATGTGACTTCTGTCCCTGACCACGAGCCTGAGCCGTAACCTCTAGGTGAAGAGAGTCAGATCGCCCGAATCAGGTGTCCTGGTCCCCGAGGGTCTCCAGGGAGTTATACCGCAGGCTACGGTCTCCTAGGTTCTGTTGAGGTCAGGGGTCTCCGGAAGTCCCCTGAAGTCCACTGGGACTTCAGGAAGGGGTTGTCTGGGTCGGGGAGTATTGGGGTCTGGGGTCTCAAGAAGGGGGTAGTGCCTGGGTCTGGTGTCTCAGGGGAGACGTAGTGCCTGGGGTCTCCGGAGGATAGTACCTGGATCTGGGGTCTCAGGGGAAAGGTAGAGGCTGGATTTGGGGTCTCAGAGGAGGGTAGTGTCTGGATCTGGGGTCTCGGGAGGATAGTGCCTGGATTTGGGGTCTCAGGGGAGGGTATTACCTGGATTTGGGGTCTCAGGGGAGGATAGTATCTGGAGCTGCGGTCTCAGCAGAAGATAGTGTTTGGATCTGGAGTCTCTGAGGTAGACCTTGCTGGAGCCAGTTTGCTTTCCCTCCCAAGGGTCTCTTGTGCCGGCCCCATCTGTGCTGTGTGCCATGGTGGCACTGTGGGCCCTTGCTCTGGCCTTGGCCATAGGCCTGGCCATTGCTGGCCCACCTAACATCGTGCTGATCTTTGCTGATGACCTGGGCTATGGGGACCTGGGCTCCTATGGGCACCCCAGCTCCACCACCCCTAACCTGGACCAGCTGGCCGCAGGGGGGCTGCGCTTCACCGACTTCTATGTGCCCATGTCTCTGTGCACACCCTCCCGGTAAGTGAGGAGGCAGGGGAGTCAATACAGCATCTCCCAGATTCACTCTGGGCTCCAGTGGGGGAGGCAAATGCTCTGTCTCTTTGGAGAAGGTCACGTTTCTTTCTTCCTCCCCTCTCTTCCCTCCTCCATGTGTCCACTTCAGCCTTAGTTTCTCTCCGTCTCACGGACTCTGTGACTTGTCCTATAGGGCTGCGCTCCTGACCGGCCGACTCCCAGTTCGGATGGGCCTGTACCCTGGAGTTCTGGAGCCCAGCTCCCGAGGGGGCCTGCCCCTGGAGGAGGTGACCCTGGCTGAGGTCCTGGCTGCCCGAGGCTACCTCACAGGGATAGCTGGCAAGTGGCACCTTGGGGTGGGGCCTGAGGGGGCCTTTCTGCCCCCCCACCAGGGCTTCCATCGATTCCTGGGCATCCCATACTCCCATGACCAGGTAGGAACCTCCAGGGCCCTCAACCACCCTCCTCCCCACCTCCCACCAGTCCCCTTCCCCTTCCCCCCTGGAGCCCCACCCCACAGCCCAGACTCCTGAATGGAACTGCTCCACCAGGGCCCTTGCCAGAACCTGACCTGCTTTCCGCCGTCCACCCCCTGTGATGGCAGCTGTGACCAGGGCCTGGTCCCTATCCCACTGTTGGCCAACCTGTCCGTGGAGGCACAGCCCCCCTGGCTGCCAGGACTTGAGGCCCGCTATGTGGCTTTCGCCCGTGACCTCATGGCTGATGCCCAGCGCCAGGGCCGGCCATTTTTCCTGTACTACGCCTCTCACGTGAGTGCCCTTGGCCCTGTCCCCTGAGCTGCCCTTGACTCCTACCCAGCGCTAACTCCTGTCTCTGCCCACAGCACACCCACTACCCCCAGTTCAGTGGGCAGAGCTTCTCTGGGCGCTCAGGCCGAGGGCCATTTGGGGACTCCCTGATGGAACTGGATGCAGCTGTGGGGGCCCTGATGACAGCTGTGGGGGACCTGGGGCTGCTCGGAGAGACGCTGGTCATCTTCACTGCAGACAATGGGTTTGCTGTGGCAGGGGGCGGGGAAATGCTGGTTGATGCCTCACCAATGGGTCACTGGGATCTTCCCATCCTGGCTACTGGCCGAGGACATATGGGCTAAGGGTGTCTGAAGAGATGCTGGCTATGTTCTGGTGGCCCACAGGGCATGAGGGAGGCTGGGGGTCACAAGGGCATGGAGGGACCCAGAGGGGACAGGCATGTGCTGGCCGTTTTTGCGTGCAGCATGTAACCCTGGGGCGGGGTCACCAGAGTTCACCCTGAGCCTCACTGACGACTTCCTTGTATGTCCCAGGCCTGAGACCATGAGGATGTCCCATGGCGGCTGCTCTGGCCTTCTTCGTTGTGGAAAGGGAACCACTTTTGACGGAGGTGTCCGAGAGCCTGCCTTGGCCTTCTGGCCAGGCCACATCGCTCCTGGTCAGTCTTCAGGCCCTCCCCTCATGAACCCCTGGCCCCACCTCCCCAGCCCTGATGGCCAATGGAGTGATCACACAGCCTTCTGCCTCCAGGGGTGACCCATGAGCTGGCCAGCTCCCTGGACCTGCTGCCCACCCTGGCAGCCCTGACGGGGGCTCCGCTGCCCAACGTCACGTTGGATGGTGTTGACCTCAGCCCCCTGCTGCTGGGCACAGGCAAGGTAGGGTTCACAACCCTGAGACCCTGGCTCTCCTGCTCCAGCCCGCAGAGCCTCTGTGGAGTGGCATCCAAATGGTGTTGCCAGTGGGGCTCCTGGGTGGGCAAGGAGCAGCTCCATATCCAGGGCCTGACACATCCTGATGGCTCCGGATACATGCAGATAAGTGCTGGGGGACCCCCGCCCACCCTGTGATCCCTGACTTTGCCCCCAGAGCCCCCGGCAGTCTCTCTTCTTCTATTCGGCCTATCCAGACGAGGTCCATGGGGTCTTTGCTGTGCGGAGTGGAAAGTACAAAGCTCACTTCTTCACCCAGGGTAACTTCCTCACCCCGGCCCTGCCGACCTTCCTGTAGCCCCAGAGCCTGGACCCTCCTCCCCTTCTTGCCCTTTGCACAGACGTGTCCCCCCCTCCAGGCTCTGTCCACAGCGATACCACGCCAGACCCTGCCTGCCACGCCTCCAGCCCTCTGACTGCCCATGAGCCCCCGCTGCTCTTTGACCTGTCTGAGGACCCTGGTGAGAACTACAACCTTCTGGGAGGTTTGGCTGAGGTCGCCCCAGAGGCAATGCAGGCGCTGAAGCAACTTCAGCTGCTCAAGGCCCAGTTTGATGCTTCCATGACCTTCAGCCCCAGCCAGATGGCCCGGGGTGAGGACCCTGCCCTGCAGATCTGCTGTCAGCCTGGCTGCACCCCCCGGCCGTCCTGCTGCCACTGCCCAGAGCCCCAGGGCTGAGAGCACAGGTGCAGGCCAGCCCAGGGCGCCTCGGCCCACCCAGGCATGGCATGGTTCACTGCTGTGGTGCGTGTGTGCGGAGGTGCTTTGTACCTGATGATGCTAATAACACCAGCTGGTACTCATAGGTGTCATAATTTATCTAATCCTTACGACAACCCTGAGGTAGGTGCTGGTCTGCCTGTGTTACAAATGAGGAAACTGAGGCATGGAGCGATCCAGCAATTTGTCTGAGGTCACCCAGCTGTAAGAGGTTGGGCAGGGATCTGAACCCACCACCGTTGTGATTGTGCGTCAGTGAAAGCTTGGTTCCTGAGTGTGAGCGTGTCCCTTCACGGAAGCTATAGTAAGTGCTTTTGTGTGCCAGGAACAGGGTGGGGTGGGTGTGAGGGCATGGTGGACAGAAGACCCTGAAGTTGCAGAGCACCCAGGAGCACCTCCTTGGAAGACGCATTCCTGGAGACACCAGAACTAGGGCGCCGGGGCTCTTAGCAGAAACCTGTCTGAAAGCGGGTGATGACCTACACATTCCAGGTGGGAATAAGGGGAGATAAGCTCCTGAGATAGCTCCCCAAGCTCTGCCTCTGCCCCTTCCAAAGCTCTGCGTTTTCTGCCTCCCCACACATTTCCTGGCCTCTCCCCCCAGCAGACAAAGGCATACCTCAGGGTTGGTTCCATCCCTGCTCAAAACTCTGCAGGCTGCCCATGGTGCTCAGAATTCAGTTCAAACTCCTTAGAGGCCCTGTACCCTCTGAGGCCTGCCCTCCTTGGCACCCAACAGCCCTCAGCCCTCAGCCCTGGCATGCTGGCCTGGCTGTCCTCTGTGGGGCCAGCGTGCTCTGTCAGTGGCTCTGCAGAGAGGACTCCTGACTGCCCACCTGTACCCACATTAGCAGTGTGTAGGCCTTGTAGTCAGTCACCTTGTGTGTGTGCTCATGGCAGGTCCACACATGCCCCATGTGGTCCCTCAGGCTTGCCTCGGGTGCTCGAGGGCAGCATCCACTTCCCTACTAATAGACCCCCGCTTTTCCAGTGTTGGGCAGAGGCTCGTTGACTAGCAGGTACAGCCTCTCCCTGACCCAGTCTGAGCCAGTCACAATCCCGTCCAATGATTGGGCCAGGAATGGCATGTGACTAAGAGTCCTGGTCGGTGAAAGGTCAGTGGCAGTCCACCGGGATGCCTGGGTCCCCTGCAGCATTCTTCCTCTGGGAGCAGTGAGGATGGTGCCCTTGCTGCCCCTGACCAGACATCCTGCAGCTGCTAAACCAGTGTCTCCAGCCACCTACCTCCAGAGCTCGCAATATAATAAACCTGTTTAAGTCACTGCTAGTGGGTTACCTGTTACTTTCACCCCAAAGAAGTCTGGCTGGAATGGGACATGTGAGTGGGATGTATGGCAACCACATGTACGAGTGCAGGCGGTCTGGGAGAGAGCCTGGGCTGTCAGACGCGGTGTCCTGAGGCCCACACTGGATCCTCCATGTGGCTCTTCCATCACTTCTGGGCTGGTTCAGGGGCTCCACTGACCATGCCCCAGATCCTACTGTGCCTTGGGGCTGCCCCCATAGGGCAGTGGTTTCCTTGGAGACCCTTGCAGCCACTGATGCTGGCATAAGGAGGCCCCAGGTGAGCTGGGCGTGCCCTCCCCCTGTAGGCTGCAGCTTTTCTTCCAGTGGGGTACACAGTCACCTCAAGGTGCCTTGGTTCCAGAGTGAGGACTGAGGAACTGGAGCGGGCACACCGTCTGTGCATGACCTCCAGAGACCAAACACTCAGCAAGAACCACACCAGCGCTCACACCCACGCATAGCACCAGGCACAGGGACTGCTCCAGGCCCGCTGCCCACCGGGCTGTTTGCTCGGCACCAGGTGCTGTGCATAGTGCTGGGGCGCAGATCACCAGAGGGGACCCATCCCTGTTCCCATGGCACTTCTTGTCTAGCAAAGGGTATGGGCGTCAACCCTGAGATTGCAGACGGGGGGAATCCCAGCATGTTGGGGGCCCCTTGTGCCTGGGTGAGGTTGGGGAGGCATGTGGCTGTTGCCTGAGAAGGGACACTAGGGGCTACAAATGTTCTCTAACTTGGGGGGTGGAAGCATGGTACGTACATAGGAATAAAGCAATAAAGCTACACACTTAAGTCATCACGTGTGTATTATATACTTCAAGAGAAATGAGAATTTCGCAGATAAATACCACAAAGGAAGAGTGCGGGTCCTCTAAGAGCATAATCTTTGGGGGAGAGGGGCTGCAGAAATCACTGATACATCAGGGATGCTTCTCTGTTGGCTGAGATCTGAGGAGGGGTGTTGAAATCTACCCTCTGCCTCCAAGGTTTGCGAGAGGAGCAGACTCTCTCACCCTCTCAACCCACTTTTGGTTTTGCTGTGAGGGCTTTTGGAAGCAGAAATACTTTTCTCTCATCATTTAAGCTGCTCCTCATCCAGTCACTTGTGTGCACACGCACTTGCAAACATGCACGCATACATGCTGAGAGACGTGCACACAGCACACACACACACTTGTGGCCCCAGATGCTGTCTGCAGTGTCCCTGCACTTCCCTTTCTTCTCTGCTGCTGTCGATTTAAAAAACAGCCCCTTTTCCTGTGAGTTAGGATTCATCCATTCACCAGAATGGTGGCTTTCCATCCCCACAGAGCGACTTCCTCCCGCACCCCAGTCTCCTCTGGGAGGAGCTCTGTGGGTTTGGAACGGACAGAACACGCACACTGGTGCTGCCGCTTCCCTTCAGGTGCATTAAGAAGGAAGAGTGGCAGGCAGAGGGGCTGCACCTGCAGGGAGACCACCCCCCCCCCTCCCGCCCCCCCCCCCCCCGCCTTGCTCACGTGCTCGTCTGTCCCCCAAATGACCAGAAGGGGGAGCAAAGGGGATGTTTCCATGGAATAATGCTTAAATTTGCCTCTTCCCTGAACCATGTACTTGTTAGAGCAGCCCAGGCAATGCCTGCAATCCCAGGCTGAGTTCTCTGTGCTCGTGCAAATCATGTTTTAATCATGGCTCTACCTTGTTGCACCCTGACCCTGCCTTTCAAGGGTCTGATGTGTCCTGTCACCTCCTTGACCTCAGGCCTGGTGCAGGGTTAGCAATAACAGAGGGAGGACTGCCTTTACGTATGCCTTGCCCTCAGCCTCCTCGGCTTGTGTGTGCAGGTTCCTCCTCTGAGTGGTCACAGGCATAGGGGCAAGGTGTGACAGCCCCCCCCCCCCGCACAAACTGCATTTTCCTGGCAGCCCCATACCCGCCCCCCACAGCAAGGAGGGAGAGCTGAGTTTCTCTATTCAAGTGGTCTCAGAAGAAAGGGACCCAAGGGAGAAAGGGGTCTGGGGTGCCATTTGAGTTGACAGGAAAGTAGGGCCCTGGAGAGAGCAGTTGCGGGGGTGGCCTGGCCCAGGACTCCACACAAGAGCGGAAACCTCTCCGCATCACTTTGCAAATACTGTAACAACGTGGTGCCCAGAGCCTGCCCTCCCCAGGGAACACCCAATGCCCAGTGGGAACTGCAGCGCTCCTCCGACCTGGAGGAATCGAGCCCGCATCGGGCTCCCTGCTCCTCGGGGAGCCTGCTTCCCCCTCTCCCACTTCCCCTGCTTGTGCTCTCTCGCTCTGTCAAATAAATAAAATATTTTTTTTAAGTTATACCAATTATAGTTGATTTCCTATATATACACCAACCTAAAATTAAAAAAAAAAAAGTTATCCAGAGTCAGTTTTTATAGTTTGGTTGTGACCACAAAATGCTAACTGATACAGAAGGAAATTAAGTACTAACCCCCACCCTCCTAATCCCAGCAAATGAGGGCTGTCGGGGAGAGGAATGGTCCCTGCCATCCAGGTTCAGTGGGTCCCTGCCAGAGGGTCCAGTGTAATGTGCTGTGTTTGGGGTAGACATGAGGCACAGCCCTGAGGGTCCACCTGTGCCCATCCTGCCAACCTTGGTGGGGGGGGGGATGGTGCATGCCTGGGGAGGAGCCGTGTCTGAACAGCATGACCTCCTCCTCCTTTGCCACCCCGATTGGACAAGTCACCTACCCTCGGATACCTCCCCATGTGAGCTGCACAGTCCAGTCCCTACATGAAGTCCCTGAGGAAGGACAGGGCAGGGTCCTGGTGGCTGGTTGTGCTGAGCCTGCTCATTCTGCTCCCCTTCCCAGGAGCTTCCTCCATGCCCCTCTGCTGACCACAAGTGCATGTCAACCTCATGCAGGATGCCCCAAAAAGAGTGCAGGCGAGTCATGCACTCCAGGGTTAGCATGTTCTGTGTAGATGAAGGCCAAGGAGTGGTGGGCCCACCGGGCATGAGTGGGGTTCTGTGGAGGTGGGGCTTTGCGCAGGGCAGGCACCAGACCCCTATGTGCCAGGGGCCAACTGCTCTAAATCTGCACAAAGGAAATAAAAAATAAAATCCAGGTTTCCCCTTTTTGCCATCAACTCAAATGATGGCTAAGACAGCTTTTAGGGTAAATTGTTTACTCCTCTTCTCTGCCAAGCTCTGTGTGTAAAAGGACCTCATTCACAGGTATGAGGGGGCAGTACTCACTGCAGCTGACTTTGGACTCAGTGGGTGCCACCTCAGGACAGGAACCTGGATGTGAGACAGGACCTGTCTGCTGGGTTGTATGCCAATTCCACAGAACATGACCCAGGCAGTGGGGGTGGGGGCACACGCAGGGAGAGCTTCCATGCTATATATCAACTCCTGTCCCACACGCACCTGCACAGGTCCCACCACACCTGTGTCCACACCTGCAAACCAGGTGAGGCCTGCTCACGGCGGTGGTTTCAGGGGTGAGGAACCTGGCACCCCTGGTCTGTTCAGCACCAGGCCAATGTTCCTTAATATCCCCTCTTCAGAGGGGGTGCCACTTACTTCCTCATCCTAGGGGGGTGGTCTTGGATCCCTGCTTGGGGGGTGGAGGAGGGTCTTCCCACATGCCCCCTGGTCATGGGTTTTGCTCTCTGTGCCTCTTTTGAGGAGGTCAGAAACACTGCTCAGCTTTAAAGGATCCAAAGTTGGAGGCAGAACTTCTGACCTCTGCTGTGGCTGGCTGGGTGATCCTAAGAGGACTTGCTTCTTCACTCTGCTCTCAGCCTGCCTATGAGCTGCTCTGAAGGGCAGAAGGTGCACACTCCTGGGGCAGCCTTCCATCTGTGGGGGCCAGGAGCCAGCAGGTAAATATTCCTGTTTCTCATCCTTCCGGTGATGGTTCAGGGAGGCCTTGAGTTTGGACTTCACACTGGCTTTTCCTCCCCACTGCCTCCCTCCTACCCGCTCCTCACTACAGCATTCTGGGGGGCTTTTGCAAGACCAGCTGCCCACCCCTTTGCCCTTGCTCTTGCTCCTGCCCGAAATTGAGCACAATGCTGGAAGATACAGCAGCCTTCAGGCAGTCATGAGGACAAAGGCCAAGCACCCAGGTCACAGGACCAAGGGAAGGAGCCTGTTGTCCTCCAAGTAGCCTTGTAGCAGCCAAGCCAGGCTTGACTCCTCCTATCCTGATTGATCAGACCCATCTCCCTGGAGTTTGCTCTTAGAGCTGAATGCTTTGAGTCACACCTACTACATGATCTATTGTTGAAATATTTTCATTGACATCCAAAAAGAATGGTGTTCTCTATATGTAGAATATAGAATCCAGTGTGTATGTGTGTTTGTTGTACTTTATTAAGTTTATTTTCAGGTCTATGTTTTCCTCCTTTTTCTTGCTGCTCAAACATTTCTGAGTCATGTATTTGCTGGTCTGTGTTTCATAACTAGAGACTCATGTGCGAAGACCATCTTCCATTGCACACAGCCCATTTCACAGTGACGTGGGCTACTTTGCTTTGATCTTCTTGCCTTAAATTCCTCATTGGGTCCCCCGATCTCTCTCTGGTCGCAAACAAAATAAAATAAAAACCCATATTTAGAAAGGGGACTGGAAAAAAAATACACCAAAATATCAGCAAGAGTTGTCTTTGAGTTGATATAAGAACTTTTTTTTTTTACCTTCCTTCTATTTTCTGCAGCTTCCACAATTTCCATAATGACCATGGGCTCTTTATAATGGAAAAGTAATACTTTAAAAAGAAAAATTCTATTTTGCATAGTGTTTATAAAAATGGTAATGAGTACTGACTTGCCAGAGCACTGTTCTCAGCCTGTCTGGAGGGCAAGTTTGTGGACGCCTCATCAGAGTCCTAAGACGGGTTCCTTTACTGTGGTCAAATACCCTTTTTTGCTTGCATTTAAGTAATGTCTTTGTTTTTTTATTTTTAGTTTTTCTGTGGATGCTTCTATTTGCGTTTGGGGGTCTCTGATAA